AAACGGCCATGTGCCTGACTGAACTGCTAGAAAAAGCCAGTCCGAGTTTCAAACTGCTAAGACGCAGTTTCAAATGCAATTGAAACTCGGGCCCTGACTAAACTGCTAAAACGCAGTTTCAAATGCAATTACAAACTGTAACCCTGACTGCGCCGTAGTTTTCTCTTATTGAAAATACAGCAGGCTATCCCGTCCGGGTGGATTACGATACTGAGAACAGATCCAGTCCCCGCACAGGGTCTATGGTGCCAGAAATTCAGAGAGAACGGCCAGACTATACTTCATGTGAAGGGTACAACTTTGGAAGGAGGACTGGAAGTAACAGTCTGGGAAGAGAACAACAGACAGCCTTTTCAAAGGAAATAGTTCGTAGAAGGACTGACCATATTGATTCCCTAAATGAGATGGAAGAAATCTGTGTAAAAGAGATTAGGGGCAACAAACAACCAGCAGGGGCGCCCGATAGCAACAGGACACTGGTGGCAGACGGAAGACCTATCAGATCCCTGGGAACGAACCCAATGGCCATGGGTTGGTACAGCTCGGAGAGGAAGAAGACAGTTACGCTAGAGGACTATAAACAGAAGATGGGAACCGAAATACTTCAGCGAAAGGTGAGGAAGAAGCCATTCCAGACAGCGGCGAAGCGGCGGGCAGAGCAGGGACTACTACCGTCTTCACCCGAATAGAATGCCCGATCATTATCGCTGCATCTGGATTGAAAGTTGGGCCAAATGCAGCTATAATGATCGGGCGTTTTATTTGGGTGAAGATGGCAGGCACCCCAGAGGAGGAAATGGAGAACTTTGTGGGTGGAGCTGAAAGGCATGCCATCACAGAAATTGCCCAGTATGCTCTGGTCGTAGTCGATACTGGCTACAACCTCATCAGTTTGCTTGGTGGCAAAAGGTATGCATATCTCCTCAACCTGCATCAGATGTAAGTGGGCCTGGGAGTCAACCACTGGCAGGCACCTATGGTTCACCTGCCCAGCCTCTCGTCGAATCTGGGACTGGTGGATCCAGCACTGGTCAAGACTGACAAAAGGAGGCTTCGACTGGACTGACAAGTGGATGGTCAGGGTGTTCCAGAAACAAGGGTCCGTGGAAGTACATGGCACAAGTCACAAGAGCTTTCATAATAAAAGTCATATGCGACGACGGTAACAACCAGTTGTTCAGCCAACAGTTCATGTCTGGCATACAAATCAAGAAGAAGATTGCCTCGGAGATTCGTACTACCGTCCAGTGTCATACTACAGCGGGTGGAGACATACCAAAAAAGGCTTTCAATAGAAACAAAGGAAGTGGTTATGGGATAACTGGGGAAGGGAGATTGGGTTAGCAAGGATTGATGATAGGGGGAGTCTGTCATTCTGTTCTTGGTTACTGACCACAGCAGGTCATGGGGAACCGATTAGTACCCTGCCGTGACAGAAGGGCGGAATCAGACCCCCCCGCCTAAGCCCCCAACCCATAGAATAGAAGGTTAGCAGATGGTTAGCAGCGGCAAAAGCCACCTTTTGCTTGAAAGAGTAAGGGACGCTGGACCCGGGGCAAGGTCCCACTTGCGCAAATTAGGAGATTTCGGCCGTTGATCTTTGCTATCTACGGTCAACATCGCTTAATTCATGTAAGTGGGACCTAGCCCCCGGTTTCCAGCAGATCCATCCTTGTTGAATTGTGGGGTCCCCGGCCCCGAACTTTTATTTTGGTATTGAAATGAAGTGGAGAAACTTTCCGAAAAAAAAAAAGGAAGGGGGTTACTTCAGTAGAGTCACAAAAACGAGTTATAATTGCACTATGGGGCAAGATACAGTTTGCAATTGCACTTGGGGCACCCTACCTGGCCAGAAAGGTGGGTTGTATACATTGCCCGAACTGCAATTCGAAACTATATACGACCAGCGCTACCGTCTTCACCCGAATAGAACGCCCGGTCATTATAGCTGTATTTGGTGCAGCTTTCAGTCCAGATACGGCAATAATTACCGGGCGTTCTATTTGGGTGAAGACGGTAGTTCCTAACTTTATCCGTATTGTCTGATTCCAGCAAGGATTGGAACTTGGTACCTGTTCACTAACCCCGGTGTATGATTTCAGGGCGTACTCACCCTAGGACTTTTTCCACTTCTCCCCAGACGTCATTGCGTCCAAGTGCATCCAGGCAGGGCCGGAAAAGCGGTCACATACGTCCAGGGAAGTCCTGCCGTAGTGCAAGTATGCCCTCAGTCACATCGGCTGGGTCCGTTCCCATGCTTTTAACGGGATGATTGATTGGAATTGAAAACAAAAACAGATGATGAATTCAAATCCTGTAGCAAACAATGTTGCGAAAGAGCTATTCACTGCCAACAGGGAAAATTGGGAAAGAAAATTGGGAAAATTCAAATTTCCAGAAAGAAAGAAGAACAAAAAAAAAACAGAAAGAAAGAAGAACATCTCTGAAAYCTCCCCCGCCTCTTTGCCGTCGAAAGACACATCTTCCCCGCCGAGGCGGAGAGTCTCCAGAGCTGCATCGGTTTGCTGTGTCCTCGGACGTGGGGCCTCGCTCCACTGCTCACCACATGCACAAAGACAAAAAATATGTCGGGTCCTTCGGGACATCTGTTGAAATTGGAACGATACAGAAGAGATTAGCATGGCAAAAAATAAAAATAAAATAAAATAAAAAATAAAATAAAATGGCGGCATATCTCTCGGTGTTCTAGCGGAAGGTCCTTCGGGACATCAGTTAAAATTGGAACGATACAGAGAAGATTAGCATGGCCCCTGCGCAAGGATGACACGCATAAATCGAGAAATGGATGTTCTAGCGGAAGGTTCATTCTCATTTCGCACAATTGGTGAGAGTAGTGGAGCGAGGCCCATGGTTGGGACCAAATTCCGTGACCGACGGTAATCGTTGAAGTAAACAAAATCCTCTGGCTTCCAAAAAAAAAAAAAAAAAAAAAAAAACAAATCCTCCGGGCGTGATCGCTTTCCCCACCCTGCCTCCGCTTTTTCCCCGCCATCCAGGGCGAGGTCCTTCTTATACCGGGATTCTCCGTTTGTGGCCGTTGATCCTCTCCATCGACCGTCATGAATTGAGTTTGGGCCCAAAGGCCACCGGGCGGAAGGGATCGTGTATGTATTTGTCTGGAACGCGCCAGTATCCACTGTGTGCAATGTTTGGCGCTCTTTACGCGCCTCCTTCACTCTGCAATTCTTTTATGATCCAACTGACCGGCCCTTCGACCTTCGGTAATTCAGAATTGTAGTTCATTCGTCTGAGCGTCGGTGGAGTTCGACCCCGGGGTCTCTCTGAGCTAGGCCAGTTGGTGAAATTCTTCTTACTGCTGCTTACTTTTCGTTCCATCGACGTAACGACAACGTTTAGCTGCTGAGGAGCTGGGATGGGTATCGGGGTAAGCCACCAGCCCGCCATGTCCTTGCAACGGCCGTCTTGACTGGTCGAAAAATTTCCTTTTGCCACCATTGCCTCTCTCTCTCTAGCGCCATTTCTCTCTCTCTCTCTTCTCTCTCTCTCTCTCTCTCTCTCTCTCTCTCTCTCTCTCTCTCTCTCTCTCTGTGGCTTCCTACCCACCGCTTGCCGAATGCGTGACATGGCGAGTGGATGTTGAAGTGGCAGCTGGCAAGATTGCTCCGCTCCATCTCTCTCTCTCTCTCTCTCTCTCTCGCTTTCGGGCTTCCCACCCACTGCTTGCCGAATGCGGGACATGGCGAGTGCATGTTGAAGTGGAAGCTGGCAAGATAGCTCCGCGCGTGTGGTGGAGCGAGGGCCTTGATCTCGCGATTTTGTTGTTGATCGGATCTTATGTTCGCGGCGATCATAGACACCCTTCGGTCTCGATCTGACGGCGGGAAATCGTCGAGCTGTTGGAATGCAACGAGACAGGTTATGGAGCATTCTCACGGCTGATCCGTTCCGTTCGATTAGACGGTGATGATCCGATGAAGAGAGATAGGCTCATGAGAAGCTCATCTTCGGTCTGACGGCGGCGCATCCTCGAGCTGTTTCAGTTTGGAACGCAAGGATACAGGTTAAGGAGCATTCTCACGGCTGATCCGTTCCGTTCGATTAGACGGTGATGATCCAAGGAATAGATTGACTCGTGAGAGGCTCGTCTTCGCGCGCGCGCGCTCGTCGACTACCGTCTTCCCCCGAACACAGCGCAGCCTCATTTTGGCTGTATATGGCCGGAAATATAGCTCGTATACGGTCATTTTTAGGGTGCGTTATGTTCGGGGGAAGACGGTAGCACATCGCGCTTGCCGTTCAGCTGTCAACTCTCTCGCTTCCAGGCGCGGTATTGGCGTGTGCTCTCTCTCTCCCTACGTACAACTCGTTCTCGTGGGTAAGCATTTCTTGTCTTGCACTCAGTCTGTCGTGATATTGGGGTTTTCCCCTCCCCTTCCTAAACCCTATTCTGGCGAGGAAACCATCTTTACTTCTTTCGCTATCTCACTTCGCGCCGTTTGCGGGCAAAGTAACCTGGGCCGTTTCTTTTTTTCCCCCCTTCTTGGTGCTATTTCTCTCCCTTGCCCTTGTGTTCCTCAATCCCCTACTCGTAGTCCTTCCTGTTCCATCCCGAAACATGTAAGTCTACATTCTTCCTCCTCCTCTTCTCCTCTTCTTCTCCTCCTTTTCATGCTCCTCCTCTTCTTCCTCCTGTTTCCCATCCTTTTCTGCTCCTCTTTTTCCTCTTCTGCTTCTCTTTTTCCTCCTCTTCTGTTCCTCTTTTTTCTCCTTTTCTCGTCCTCCTCTTCTTCCTCGGCTTCTCCTGCTCTTCTTGTTCTTCTTCTTGTCGGGGTCTTCTTGTCGGGGAACGTGTGCATTATGAGCTATGTTGAGATCGATGCAGGTGCATTATTGACTTTTTGGAGAAGCACAGATGTGTAGCAATTGGCTTTGCTATTTCACTACTTCTTCTTCTTCGTCTTCTTCTTCTTCTTCTTCTTCTTCTTTTGCTTCTTCTTCTTCCTCCTCTTTGGTGCTTGAGCGCACCTCCTTTCCGTCCCCCTCCACTCCTAGACATTGAATTCTACAGTCTTCGTCTTCTTTGCCCTGATCGTGTCGCATCCACGTGTCACTTAACTTTTTTTTTCTGTGTTTGCGTACGTGTCCTTCCCGATGAATGAGAGTGCTGCTTGTGAACATGCCACGAAACATTTGTCAATCCTTTTGCTCGCGTGTCCTTTTCTTGTGACTTTAGGTCACCGACCGTTTTCTTAGCTTTCCTGAGAGGATCCGACACCTGAAGATGACTTTGGAAGTGGGATGTTGGCTTGGCGGCTATGTATTGTGCAATGGGTTGCTCTTTGGCAAATCGCTGACCGAACGCAGTTTGTCCGACGTGTGCAGAGCATGTTATTGCGATTATGTACATCGCAGCTGTGATATGCCTGATCTTCACTGTATACTATGTATATTCGACGAGATGGAAAACACGAAAAGGACAAGATTGCAAGGAGAAGAGTGTGGATGTCTCAGATGCAGATAACCAGGAAGAATCTGGTCGGGATGGCGAGAAGGGAACGATGCAAGATCTCATTGGAGGGGACCTTGGCCCATCTGCACGCCGGACTGCTACCTCGTTGGCTGCGCCCCTTGGCTCCGCCTTCGCAACATTCTTGGCAGAGGTGAGCGGGAAAGAAGCGTTGAACTCCGTGCGTGGTAAGGAGGCGGGAAAAGAGTGTAAGAGAGAAGAGAGTGCGGTTTCTGCAGTCCGGTTGCATGGAAGATAATCCAATGAGAACTTAGGAAATGAAAGAGGTGGTTTTCACGCTCCTAGCGTGTGGAACTTTCTGCGTTACGCGTGCACACTCGCACAGGCGCGCATACACACAGATACACACACACACACACAC